AAGAATCCCCCAGCCGGCATGCCTGGCTGGGGAATTCTGGGAGTTGAAGTCCACACATCTGAAACCCGCCTAGGTTGAGAAACACTGTTTTAGGGTGTCTTCTAGGTTCTCCATCTTTTCTTTCTTTTTCTTTTGCTCTAGTTTGGTTGGTGGTGGTTCCCTGTCAAGTTGTTGTTCTATTCTCTGATATATTATGAGCCTCCCGGAGTTGTTTGGAGTTGGGACGCATCAAATCAGTGAATAAAATAAAAGGACAACGTCGTGACATGGTGTCATTGTGGCTTGTACCGGCTGCCTAAGCCAAGTCTTCTGGAGGTGCGGTTGTGATACTGCTCATGCCTCATGCTAAGCTGTGGTTTGCATAAGCAGGGACTTTTGAATATGTTGTCTTAAACTGGTTTGCATAACGTGCTGAGCTATAAATCATACTGTAGGCATTGCATTAGAGCCACTGCTGTGCTGAAAATGAGCTAAAGTGTTAGCTGGGAAGGATCAGATGGGGCTTGGAGGAGGGCAATGGGAGACACTGGGAAGGGTCCAAAAGAGTTGGCGAGGTCAGGGAGAAAAAAGCAGGGTTTAAAAGTCACAACGTACTGGAGAGGGCGTGGATATGCAGCAGGCACCAGGGTGAGAGAGAACATCCACACACCTTAAAGTCGCCAAGTTGGAAAAACATCGGTTTAACCTGTTATATCAAGGCAGCCAATTGTAGCTTATGCAGACCACAGTTAAGCAAACCGTAATTTCGCATGGTTAACACATCCTTGGGAGAGATGGAAAGGCCATCGTTAGAAATAATACCTGTATTTCTTCGTTAACTCTGTCGACCCTAGCAACCTTACTTATTTACTTACTTACTTGATGTTTTCTGTATTCCTCCATACTCTGAAAAGACTGTTGGTTTACAACATCCAAATCAAAATTTCCAAAAGATAAATCCATAAGATTATTTGATGATGTGCCCTCAGGTTGGTGTTGATTCTTAGCAACCACATGAATGCATTATCTCCAGAACACTGTCCCCAACCTGGTCCTTTAGATCTTCCAACGGTGTACCCATCAGTACTGTAATTGAGTCAACCCACCTTATTACTGATCATCCTCTTCTTCTCTTTCCTTCCACCTTTCCCAGCATTATAGACTTCTCCAGAGAGCTAGGATTTAATCATAAAACTAATTAATGATAATAAAACCATCAGTTCACCCTGAGGTCTACAATACAAGCAACAGTTATCACAGAGGAAAAGTTCTGCAGGACAGTCTTGTTTGAACCACCTTCCTGAACACCAGCAGAGAGGAATGAAACACTGGGGGAAAAAATTTGTCTCCTGCATCCCCAGACCTCATGCATGGTAGAAGTTCTCAATTTCTGTCTTCAAGATGAATAGATCAGACATGTCCATTCTTCTTGAAGGAGAGAATCCTGGAGATATCCAAGAGCCAAGCTAAAAGCAGCCTTTTGAACTATATTTGGAAACTAATTGGGAGCAATGCAATTCCTGCACAACCTTTGTTATAGGACTGTCACAGCTTTTGCCGTCCCTTAGACACCTGCATTTTGCCGTAATGGCAAATTCCAGGTTGTTTTCAAAGGCAGCCCCACATAGTGTGCATTGCAGTAGTCTATCCTTGAAGGGATGAGGACACACGTTCTGTCAACAAGGCTTCCCACTCCACAAAATTTAGCATTTATGTGCTCCATTCTTTTACTTATCTACGGTCAGACAGCATGTAAAGCTAAGCCCAAGCTGGCCCGTAAGAATTTTCAAAATGCATCCGATGTAAATATTATTTTAGTTAACGTCTTACTGTTACTGCCATCACTGTGATATCTAATTAATCAATGTTTTTGGATTTTCAAAACAGTGAACCTCTTCCTGACTGGGAAAACTGAGAGTGCAGTCCCTTCCTTGGGTAAGACGAGTTTGTTTTTTATTACCATTTAAGCTTCATAGTCTTCTTGGTGGCTAATAAATCATTCCTAGATAAGTATCATGTTAAGAAAAGATGGTCCCTTTCAAAGGATTTGAAAATAGTGTGATGTTTCTAGTATTGCATGAAAGCATCAATCGAAAACCATGTCGAGATGTTCCTTACATCACTCCCTTAACAATTCACTCATCAGATTGTCAGTAACATAATCTTATTCTGTTCGGGGCCCAAAAACAACATCAGGGCAACAGATTTAGAACTGTCGCTGTCTCTAAGAATAATTTTTGAATGTCTTTGTATATTTATTTTATAATGTGTGTGTCGGTTTAGGAGAAGAGGGAAAAAAATCAATCCCTTTTCAGAACAAGCTGGACTTTGAAAAAATGTACTTAGCCTTGTCTCTGAATTCTGTCTGACTATGAGAAGATTTTTTAGCAGGCTTCGCGCATCCTTTTTATTTCTTTGGCCAGCTCTGTGCAAAGTTCTCCATCATTTCCTCTTGGCAGACTCATTTAGGTTATTGATCCTCTCCTAGAAAATGTCTGTTTCAGGGCATTTCAGCCAGGAAACCAACGAGTTTAGTAAAGCAGAAGGAACAGGAATTGATAAGGCAAGGTAATGATGACGATGTATTTCCCTGGATGGCAAAAGCTGTTGCGACAAAGCACGCGTGGTGTTTAAACCTTCCGTTTCCGATGGCTCCTTTTGACAGCCGCTTGTAGCGGAAAACCAGAACAACATACAGAACGGCGAGGGGTCATCTATAGTCCTTCCTGGCCACTCAGCTATCTGCCGGCCATCAACTGCAGCTGGTACATCCAAGGGGATCGTGGAGATGTCATAACTATTAGGTAGGATGTATGATTTTTCTTTTTCTTTTTTTTAAATATTCCATGTTGAAACAGGGTTTCAGGTGCAGTTGAGGCTTACGATGGAGGTTTCTTCCGTAGTGCTTTTCCTGGAGTTCAACAATGGTTTCAGCGTCAGATGGACTGCGTGATAAAAGTTAGGCTGAGTGAGAGGCAGGACCTGCACTCACACATCACACTAAACCACGGTCTGTTTTAAGCATGGTTTGGTTGACCTGGTTTCATGCACTGCACCGAATCCTAAGCCGCAATTAACAATGCAGTGGCTGGGTTCACACGTCATGCTAAATCACAAGCCACAAAGTACATTATGACTTAGTGTGATGTGTAAACCCAGCCTGTGTCATACTTTAAATGTAACACTGGCCTGGTAATCCTAAACTTATTTAGGGGCCCCTGCTCACTTCTTTGCTTTCTCTCTTTCTTTAGTGTTTTCCCTTCTTGTCAGACCCAAGACTCACAGTTTGCCTCCAAGGGGACCTGGAATCCACAGGTCAAGCAATGTTTCTGATTCTCTTTGGGATCCATCTGGTTTGCAACAGCTCATAATTTGCTTGATTTGGGTGTCCTTGGCAAACTGGGAGGGAGGAAAGAGGAAGAAGCTTGAACCCAACGCCTGTTCAGGTTGTGAGTCTATGAAATGTCACATTCCACTCTCCTTTAATGCAAAAACTCACAATGACTTGTTCACACATCATGTTAAGCATAGTATGGTTTATTTGGTTTTGCCGTAATGGTTGGGGGCTATTTGAGAAAGCATGGTTAAGGAAACCGTGGCTTAGACTAGTGTGTGAATCCAGTCTCTATAAACCCGCATAAGTGGATTTGGGATTGCTCCAGCTTCAGCATGAAAATAGCTCAATATATTAACAGTTGCTAAATTATGGGAGTGCTGAGGCTCTTAAATACAAAGAATGAATTAATACTTTCAGGCTGGGTTCATACGATATCCTGAACCCTAAGCATAACTACTGGGTTCATGGAACTGGCTGTACTCAAAGAAATCAAACTATGACTTAAATTGAGGGCCAGGTTCACACAACATCCTGAGCCACAACATACACAGCCTTTTGTAGCCTGGTGTAGGGTGTTGGGACAACCTAGCCAGTAAGTAGCTTGACCTCAGATGGCTGAGACAGTAACACAGGATTAGATATTTTACATCAGAATGTATACAAATAAGAATACATTTGATTAAATTCACTTTGCTTTTTTATCGAGAGAACTGCAGGGATCGTAACACAACTATGAAACCAAGTCAACAGACCCTCATTTAGTGGACGTTGAGGGCAACAGAGCAACTTTCTCTCTAGGCATCCCACCAAAATAACGAACAAGCGTCCGAAATAATCTGGGTGTTAATTTTATGCCAGCAGTTGGCATCATTCGAGTAGTGATGTCATTGACAAAACTGATGCGAATGACGTCATATGTGATTTGATGCGCATTCAAGAGTCATGGAGCCCCTTTCCCTCCACCTGGTCTAATAAACTGATGTTTCACTGTATTCTCATCTACATAAACAAAAGGAACCTTGTTCGTAGCTCTTAAGCTACAGCTTATAAAAATGCCCTTGACCATGACACTGGTGTTGCTTTCTTCATTACGGCCTTCAAGGGTCATTCTGCAGTGCAGAATTGTACTGTTAAATCAGGAGGCCTTGTTCTGTTTTCTTTCTAGGACAATGTTTCTCAAAGTTTCTGTTCTCAGGGTCCCTTCCCACTTTTAAAAATCATGGAGGACCCCAAAAGAGCTTTTGTTTGAATGGGTTATATTTATCAATATTTACCATATTAAAAATTAAAGCGGACTCATTCATGGAATATTGATTTATTGAATCATGCAGAAATAACAATATTAAACCCTTTAGATGTTAACAAAAATACAATATTTTTCATGAAAAAAACCCCCCAATATGTTTTAACACAGAAAAAATAAGAATGAGAAGAGTGACATTGTTTTAAATTTTTGCAAATATCTGCAAAATCTGGCAAGTAATTTTGAATTCACGGACCCCTGAGAGGATCTTGGGGGACCCCCAAAGGTCCTCAGGCCACACTTTAAGAAACATTGCTCTAGGAGAAGAATAGCAATTTTGGGGAATGGATGTAAATAGGTTCAAATTGATATTACAGATCAGTATCAATAACAACCCCCAAATTACATTGGTTATCTAGCAACGTGCTGAACTGGCACAATAGCCTGCCTGAACTTAAAAGGCCATTATTGGGTCCATACAATCATAATGTGGTTTGTTTGGTTTTGGCTGAGTGGGTTGTGTGAATTCAGCTCTCTGGTTTAGTTAAGAAACTAGGATTAGGGGTAAGCAATAGTGCAGGAATAGGTCACTTCTTGAATGCATGCTGCCCTACCCTGCACACCATTTCCATTTCCCTCAAACCCAGTAATGCAAACTGGCTGAATTTTGACAACCATGATAGTCAGTGGTGGGAATGGAGTAATTTGTTTCCCAAAGCCCCTTACCCATCCTTAATTCCACCCTTCAAAATTGTTTTCAGGAGCGTTGGCCGTGAGGGCAAATTATAAACCCTTCCCTCTCAAGTGCAAAGAACTGCTTCATGTTTCTGAAGCCCTTGAGAAGGTCGGGAGGCCAGGTCCTGACTTCCAGCCATTCAGAAGATGGCCAATCTCTGATGGAATGCAAGATGTGAATCAGGCCACTCTTCCTTCATTTGTGTGTCTTCTTTTTCTCCATCATTTTGTCTTGGTAGCTTTAAGAACTTTGATGTGGAGGACTCTCCCAAATGTTCAGTAGACTGGCTGATGATGGGTCCCTCCTCCAAGCGGGAGGAGTACAAAGTCTGCGGATCTTTCATCCCTCCTTCGTTCATCTCTGCCAGGGACCACATCTGGATCTTTTTTCACTCAGATCCATCAAGTTCAGGGCAGGCTCAGGGATTTCGCCTTTCTTACATTCGAGGTAAAATCACCCTCTCCTCTGTTGATGACCTTGTGAGCTATTTTATTTCTGAATATCATGTCTATGTGAGATTAATTCCCTTTCATCCTTGCAAGGGTGCTGGGAGGCTTTCAATCTGAGAGAGAGCAATGAACCGGAATAAGCTAGCAAGCTTTAGAGTTAACCAGAAATAAACTCAAATCTCCTTGATCCAAGTCCAGCACAATTCTCACCGTGACCTAGTTCACACTGTAATGTGTGTGCTTGGTTTTGGCTCAGCATGTTGCATGAATACAGCCATTAAGATTTGCAGACTGTGTTTATGGCTTGCTTCATTGTATGAACTCAGCCAATCAGTCTTTATTCAGTGAACAACGTTGACTGACCATGGTTTAATGTGATGTGTGAACCCAGTCATACTCCTGTCTTCTCATTCGTTCATGCCTTTTGTCAATTCCTCAGGGTGATTTCCTGTAAAGTAAAACTATAAACTGATTTATAAGTAGAATATTATGTAGATTAAGAGATTGAGCTGAGCTGTGGGGAGGACATTTTGCATGGAGCAAGTTGGAGCAGGCGTTTGTGCTTGACAAGGTAGAATTTCAGTGTTCAGTTATGTTGCTGGTTTCATGAGTCTGACCCTTCTTTGTCTCTTCACACGGATACTGCTAGATGAGAGACCAGCAGAAAATACTAGGCTGTAGTCTAGTTGTGGAAGTTGAAAAGAAATGGAAGGAAGCAATGGTAAACCTGTTTTGTGGGCAAGAAACCTGCCTAGATATGTCCATCAAGTCCTGAGCAGTGGTGCTCAATTAAAATGAAACTACTTTTATAGGTGGTCCTCAACTTATGACCACAATTGGGACTGGAATTTCCATTGCTAAGCAATGTGGTCATAAAGTGAGACATCACGTGACCACATTGCTTAGTGACAGGAATCCTGGCAATCCTGGTTGCTGTCATCAACTGAGAATTGCAGGTCATTAAGCAAGGACTCACCCCAATCCAAGCCATTCTGGGCTTGGTCCCTCCTAGCCCCAAGCCTCAGTGGGGTAAGCAACTACTTCCAACTCCCCCCAACTGCCTATCTCCCTCCCATCTCTGTCCTTCTGGCCACTCTGCACACTGCCTTGTGGGGTGGCAAGCAGCCCCAGAACTGTGTGCCCCGGGAAGCCCCAGCTGCCCCAGCCCAGGCCCAGCCAGTCTCCCTTGCCACCTTGCACTCCAAGGCCTCTACAGACTTGCGCTCCACTGCCCCAGCTGACCTTCGCCATCTTCTTGCTCCTGCTGCTGATGAGGCATGCATGGCCTGGCTCTTCATGAGGCAGCTGCTGGCCGCATGAGACCATCTTCTCCAGGTCTTGTGAGGAAACCGCCATGCACGACCTGGGAGAGATGGCCTCACGTGGCCAGCAGCTGCCTCATGAAGGGCTGGGCAAGGCACACCTCATCAGCAGCAGGAGCAAGAACACAGTGAAGGTCAGCTGGGGCGGCAGAGCACAGGGCAACAGGGGCCCAAAAGGGCATAGATGAGGAGGGAGTTGGGTGGAAGGAGTTGCAGACTGCTAAGTGCCCGAATTTTGATCCCATAATCCAGGGGCACTGCAGTGGCTGTAACTTCGGGCACAGGTTGTAAGTCCCTTTGTTCACCGCCACCAAATGGTCATAAGTCGAGGACTGCCTGTAATATCTGGAAAGCAACCAGAGATCACTCCATAGTTGCAGAAGTTTCTAACTCTTCTCACTTACTTTGCAGGAAAGATTGGCCAAGCCAGTTGCCAGTCAGATGAATTCCACTGTCTCAATGGCAAGTGCATTCCCGCCACTTGGAGATGCAATTCCATGGATGAATGTGGTGATAATTCTGATGAGAAAAACTGCAGCGTCCCCCCAACGGAGCCCCAGTCCAGCATCTGTCCTTCCGGGACGTTCCAGTGCAACATTGGCCATTCCACCAAGTGCTTATTGAACGAGCTGAAGTGTAACACCGTTAAAGACTGCAGTGATGGCTCTGATGAAGAAAACTGCCCCGATCTGTCCTGTGGCAAAAAGCTGAGCAATTTCTATGGGTCTTTTGCCTCGCCAGACTTGTTCCGCTTGGACCGGAATCGGGCCGACCTCTGTTGCACGTGGCAGGTGGACACCCAAGACAACCGCCACATTCTTCTGCAGCTCAGTTTGCAGCTGGGCTACAAGGATTACGTGAAGGTGTATGATGGCTTAGAGGAGAAAGCCGACAAACTCATAGAGACTCTCTCGTATCGGAATAATAAGCACTCGGTCAGCCTGGAGTCCTCAAAGGGGCAGATGACGGTCTTGTATTATGCCTGGTCGAAAAGCACTGGCCATGGCTTCAACGCAACGTACCAAGTGAAAGGGTATTGCCTCCCTTGGGAGCATCCTTGCGGCGATGACGAGGAGTGTTACTCCGATAAGCAGCACTGTGATGGGTGGTGGCATTGCGCCAACGGCAAGGACGAGGAGAACTGTCCCGCCTGTCAGAAGAACGAATATCCTTGCGAGGGGAACAGCGGGTTATGCTACTCTTTGCTCGACCGATGCAACAACCAGAAGAACTGTCCCAACGGGTCCGATGAGAAGAACTGCTTTGTGTGCCAGCCGGGCAACTTCCATTGTGGCACCAACCTCTGCATTTTTGAGACCTGGCGTTGTGACGGCCAGGAGGATTGCCAGGATGGCAGCGATGAGCACAACTGCTTGGTGATCGTGCCCCGGAAGGTCATCACGGCTGCACTAATCGGCAGCCTGGTCTGTGGGCTGTTGTTGGTGATCGCCTTGGGCTGTGCCTTTAAGCTCTACTCACTGAGAAGCAGGGAGTACAGGTGAGGGGAAGAAGCTGGGGTGGCTTTGCTACTTGGGCTGCTTTTAGGGGGAGGAGGCCAAATCTTGAAAAATGAAACCAGTTTCAAGGGGGGGCGGCCTGTAAGGAATGGCCATTTTGACCCTGGCTTCACTTTTGTTGTTCCTTAATCACTAACTTTGACCAAATTTGGATGAAATGGGAAACCAGGGTTCCTTGGTCCATGAGCAAAGCAGGGTCTGTCTTCCCACGACATGCTGAATCTCAAACTCATGGGTTGCAAACTCAGTTTGTATGATTATTTGAAGATTCTGGGGGTCATGCAAGCCAGAAAATTGGGTGAATTGAATTAGTTGGTTAGGTTAATCATGGCTGAGAGTGTCGCGTGAACTCCATTGTTTTCTTGGAGGCATCTGCTTTCCTGTCCTCATTTCTTTTTTGTTTCTTTGAAAAGGGTATCAAAAGCATATCCTTCCAGAGTAAAAATGTACAGTTCCCTGTAATTCAGGAAACCGTGTTATGCTTAAACTTTACGGAGGACTTAAGCACCATAGTTTTGTAGTTCAGACTTCACAGGGAAGTGTGTTAAGTCAGGAAATCTCTGCAATTGTGCAAGAGAGAGAACATCTAAACCCCTTCATTGTTCCTGTTCTCACAGACAACAGCTGATCAAATCAAGAGCTTTACCTTTTTCTCATTCCTATTGTGCTATTTTGATCAGCAAGCACTGGTGCATACTTAAAATGAGAAGCCGTAGCACACGATTTTACCTGAATAGGTTTCTTGATTTTTCAGGAAAATGAAGGGCAAGAACACTGCAACTTTCATACCCTATTCTTTTTTGAAATATCATTCATCTTGATCTTAGAGTTTAGGGCAATCTGGTTTCCAGTTGTGATGTCAGCCTGTGACCTCATTTGTCCTTGAATGATAATAGAGGCAAAGGAAGAGGAAGTGATCACCTGTCCACGTTGATTTTACCTAGTCGGTTTCTCACCTCTGTCCCTCACCTCTCTTTTGATCCTGATTCTAGGGCATTCGAAACCCAGATGACCCGACTGGAGGCGGAGTTTGTAAGGCGTGAAGCTCCTCCTTCTTATGGGCAACTGATTGCACAAGGACTCATTCCACCCGTGGAAGATTTCCCTGTTTATAATGCATCACAAGTAAGGGATCCACTCGGGAGCTGTCTCCCCACTCCTTGCAATGCGAGTCAAGGGTGAAATTGATGCGGCCTTTCTTTTCTAATCATAGAGCATCGTTTCTCAACCTTGGCTGCTTGAAGATGTGTGGACTTCAACTCCCAGAATTCTTGCTGGCTGGGGAATTCTGAGTTGAAGTCCACTCATCTTAAAGTGGCCAAGTTTGGACAACACTGTTCTAAAGGTATGAATGATCTCATGCAGAGGACTTTTCAGGTCAAGGCCAATCATTACTTTAAAGTAAGTCTCACTTAGGTCAGCAGGATTTGCTCCCAAGTGAGAGTGCAATAGCTTTGCAGTCTCCAGAGCAATTCTTAGTTTATGCTTGTGGAACAGAAAGAGGTTTGACTTTTTAATGAAATTGCTAATGGCCATTTCAATTTTCCTTCTAGGACCAGTCAAAGATTTGGATTGGGTGTGGGTTTCATTGGAGCCCTGGCAAGGGGGAGGTGTAGAGTTAAGAACCCTCTGCCATTCTTGGTGCAATACACCTTTTGATGGTACTTTCCAGTGGCTGTTACTTGCAGTTCACAACCACCACAAACTTATGCCACGCAACGCTAGATATTTAATGTGCTTTGTCATGTAGGGAAAGTTTATTGGATGCTACGTGATACTGTTTCTAGGGCATTCAGTATTATAATATTATGACCTCCTAGGGTTCATCTGCTCAGCCCTGGGAGGTAGCGTTGGCCCAAGTGCACTTTGAGAAGATGAGAAAGTGATTAATGGTCACAATATTCTTAACCTGTTAAATCTTTCTTTAGAAACAATGACTAAGATTCTCCAGAACTGTCTGGGGAATTAAGTAGGAGTCGGGGGGAGGGACCACAATAGCAGAATGATTTATAACCAAAAGCAACTGGAATCGGGGGGGGGGGGGTTGGTTCTAGAAAGTCATGGAATTCTAGGGTCCACAAATAAAATGGTAGGGAATGATTGGGCCTTGTTTTATAGTTGCATTTTTACGCAGTGCTCGATACATCCATTTTGCAGGATGAGACTCTTCTGGTTGATTTGGGGTTTGCAATTGCAGAAGTAGTGAGGAGATCTATTTATTGTTTGTTTTCATTTTATTGGATTCCTACCCTGCCTTTCTACTGTAGTGAGGACTCAGAGGGGCTAATAAAATTTCACAAGATGAAAAACACTGTCTGAAATGTTAGGCAGAGTGGAGATATGAGTACATTCCACACCAAAAATACACACTAGCGTTAGAGAGATTTAAAGAATGCAATGTCCTTATCTTGTTCTCCAAAGAAATCCAGCCAGAAGTTATAAAACATATCTGGTTGTTTATTGAGAAAAATAAAATTACATAAAATACAAGTTGCATGCAAAACATAGAAAAAAATCACTTCTTCACATTTACGTGGAATCCAAGACATGTCCTTATCTTGTTCTCCAAAGAAATCCAGCCAGAAGTTATAAAACATATCTGGTTGTTTATTGAGAAAAATAAAATTACATAAAATACAAGTTGCATGCAAAACATAGAAAAAAATCACTTCTTCACATTTACGTGGAATCCAAGACTGAAAAAACAAACTTATTCAACACACAGGTTCAACTCAAAGTCTCTAGCCAAAAATTCTCAGAGAAGAGGTACAGAGAAGACATTATGTATCTTCAAGTCAATGTCAGCTCCTAGCGATCACATAGACAGGTTTTTCTCCATGACGATCTATCCCTCACCTGGTCTTTCAGGTCTTCCAACGGTGCTCCCATCTCCACTGTAACTGAGTCCATCTACCTTGCTGCTGGTCATCCTCTTCTTCTCTTTCCTTCCACCATCCCCACTATCAGAGCCTTCTCCAGAGAGCTAGATCTTTGCTCAGTGTGTCCAAAGTAGGATAATTTGAGCCTGATCATTTGTTCCTGGGTTGTTTGATGATCCCTTGGTTTGTTTTCTTGGCTGTCCACAGTATTCTCAGGAGTCTCGGTAAAGGTGAAAGTCTTAGTGAAAGACTTTTAGTCTTAATTTTAGTGTTAATTTTAATTGGTCTCAAACTTTTCAGATACTGTCCTGAGAATAACGTGGACTGAAAAGTTTGAGACCAATTAATATTAACTAAAATTAAGACTAAAACCCTTTCACTAAGACCTTCATGCTAAGAGAGGCATCTTTATAGATTTTCTAAGTGCCAAGAGCACTGGAACCAAATGCAGATTCACTATACTGTATTACTACAAATCTCCTGTAAACCATCAGATTGGAAAGCTAAGAGAGAAATAAAAGCATTCTGTGGGAAGGGGGTTTAGTTGTGGGCTGGGACATTTCACTAGGTTGGATTCCACAGAGAACTTCCCATCTATGATTCTGGAAACCTTGGTTTAAAGGTGGCCTGCAAGAACATTATTGTCAGCTGCCTTGAGTGCCCCCAGAGCAGAAAGGGGGAATAATAAATTAATGAGTAACGTAATGTTTTTCAACCTTGGCAACTTTAAGATGGGTGAACTTCAACTCCCAGAATTCCCCAGCCAGCATG